AACCCACATTATACGGACGTCGTCTCCTCGGACATTGTAATCGTGTTGGCTGTCTGGTTACTACTTGGTCTGGTACATGGTATCTGTACGTATATCAAAATAATATGGAATTAACGTGTGTTACTTGCCCAGGGTAAAATCGTGCTGAAGACTTATCTGTATTCTCCGCCGTATTTATACTTAGGTAAACCAATTTACCGATTTGGTTTACCATTTACCATTTTGGTTTACCATTTACCATTTCGGAAAATACCTAAATTACCAAAACCGGAACTGGTGATTACCAAATTAGGTAATGACGTCATTGTACGTCATTTTAAGTACACAATGCACAGGTGTTCCTATGTAAAACATAAGCAAGAATAATAAAAAGTTTTAGAGTTAACAATGTTTAAACATAGTTATACAAGAAATATATAATAAGAAAAGTCAATTATCGGTAAGATACAACGTCATCACACAATTTTAGGGGAAACAAGTTGCAATTCAGGGGACCCACATTTCGTTACACTCTCCCCACCTTTGAAAAATAATGTTTGTCCACAAACATGAATAGACATTTCCTAAAATTTAAAACAAGTTCTTCAATATCATTCATTAAAATATTCTATAAAATACATATTCAACATTATAAAACAATAATTAATCAAGTTTAATTAATCTTTGGAATGTTCATTGTTCATATACATCTAAACGCAAAGCTTGAATTCCGCACTGTCCTTTATGATCCTTTAGTTTTGTAAATGTTCATATAGCACCAACATCGCTTCTTTTCATAACGATTGTTCATAAAACACGAGTTCTGTTTATTTTGACGAATATTTAAAGAGCACCATCAAATCTTCGTGTTCATTAAACACACTTAATTAATTGCTGTGTGCATAATGACGAATGTTTATAAAGCACCAACACATCTTCTTCGCATGATGAATTTTCTTTATTCGGAACTAATTCTGTGTATTTTGACAAATGTTTATAGAGCACCATCAAATCTTCTCGGCTAGACGAATGTTCATAAAACACTAATATTATTGTACAAATGAATATCCTGAAAACAAGTTACATATTTAAACAATCAATAAATATATACAATATTAATAAAAAGTTGATCAGAAATATATTGACCGTCAATTTACAAAAAAAACTCTTTCCCTTATACAATATACATGGACTTTTATCTTTAAAAATCAAACTAAATAATCCTTGGTACAAGTATATCTATGTCTGCAACAATGCGACGGTGATACACAATTTTATTATCCGACTTCGTTGGTAATTCAGCAGTCCCCATTGGCATAACTACACTTCCATTAGCCATGCGAAAACCACTACGTGCATTGGACAACACTGGCGTTACACTCTTGGACATGATATTATACATGGATGAGTTTAGGACACTAACGGTGGACCCGGTATCAATCAAACAATTCAATTTCATGTCATAACACTGACAATTACAACATGTACATATATATTTTCAGAATATATTTATCTGATTCAATTTCTCAAAATTATTGGATTGTTCAAATCATATTTAGTTTCTGCTGAAAATTGGTCCTCAGTTTCAGCCTCTAATAGTTTCCCCGACCAGTCATTTGGTCTGCCACTTTTCTTGGAATTAAGTTTTTAGTTCTGTTACCTTCAAACCTTGGGATCGGTTATTCAATAGGGGAAATTCCCTTTTCAAATGACCGGAAACCCCACAATGGTAACAAGAAAAAGTTTTCTTATTTTTTCTATTATTTTCTATTTTTGCAAGACGACCTGAAATGTCATCAACTTGTTCAGACAAATAAATTTCCCTATTTAGATCAAAATTATCATTTTCATTTACAGCACAAACTAGCTTAGTGCCGTGTTTACGTCTGTCATTTTGGAATGCTTCATATTCAAGAGCTACTTGAATAGCGTTATTAATACTTTTTGCATTGGCCTGGAAAATAGCCCATTCCATGTCAACATCATTTAGGGAATCAATAAAACAATGGCATGCTAATTGTTCTTTAATCTCCATCGGAGCTGATGGATACGCTAATCTTACCAGACGTTTTATGTCTTGGCCTAACACAGGTATTTGTTCCGTGCGTCCGCGTATTTTACTTTTCATTTGAGCCCTGTACATTCATTGGTCCGCATCTCTGGTCTTAAATCGGTTAAAATACTTTGGGCTGTACCTCTTAAGCTAGTAGCTAGTTCTAAAGCTTTCTCTATGTCAGACCATTTGTTAATTGCTGCAATTAATTCAAACTGAACTAAATAGTCTTCCCAATTACCCTCCCCATCATAAAGTGCTGGTTTCTTTTTGGAATATTTTGTATTTTGTAAGTTTATATCATAATCACGCTCAAAATTTGGTTCATTGCTAATGCCAGCATAATTTATATTACTGGTCATTTCATCAGTACGGCGGTGTTCATGGTCGGTCCCGTTAACCCCCACTCTGAATCGTCCGCGGGACGTCAAAGGTAATGCTTGGTACGTTGCCCCCTGATTATGGGGTACGCCCCGGTCCAAAGTCCTAGGTAAATCTCCCGAATCCCATCTACCCCGTCGGGCATCGGATTCACAAGACGTCGCGCCTCGTCTTGTATTCCCGGAGTCTCCCTCAGCAGTACCCCCTGCTTTCTGACTCCAAAACCCATACCTAGACCCTCTGGCAGCATGGTCCAAAAGAGTCCTTGACTCTTCACCAAAATTCTGTTTTACCGTACGCGCTGCATTTTTTTCCAAATGCACAACCGTTGCCCTATTTGAAACTTCCGGGTTTTTCGCTTGGTCAATGGCCACTTTCCTTGATGGTGATAGATCCCCTGACAATGGCCTATTGTCAGTATGATGTATACCATCCTTTTCGTATCTATTCGTATTCTCTTGTGAGGGCCATTGATCTTGGTTCACTCTTATGCCTATCTCTCCGGTCGGCGTCAGATCATGGAAAATTTCACAGGACCGAGATCGGGGGAGCACTGGTCTACCCTGGGCAGTTAACCTAGGTGTTTCAAATTTATTTTCCGCGCTATCCATTTTACTTATTTTTATTTATGCCTTATCTTGAATATAATAACACTTTTTCAAAGAATATAAAAATGTAGGTACATCCCACCGCTGCCACCACTGTAACGAAAACCGAGCGGTCGGGCCTTAGTGTTAAACTATAAATGTTTATCCCTTAGTGCGTTGCTATAAGAATGTGTTATGTTAGAATGAACGAATATATAAAAAAATAAAAGTTATATCTGGTGACTCTTATTGGGTAGCGTGGACTCTGGTATCGTGGTACTATGTGGTACTCTGGTATTCTGAATACACACTGGTAAGGTTTGGTTCCTCTGGTAAGGTAATGACTCTGATATAAAAGGGTAGATTGGAGTATAGGTTTTTGTATGGTAACTCTCGATCTTTGTAAGAATAACAGACTCGTTAAATAAAAATCAACTTGTATTAACTTTAAGATGTATTAAATATCAACAATACATATAAATATTAAATAACTTAACAGTATTTTAGACTTACAGATAAATACTTTATTAACCTTTTATCGTGAATTAAAGAAAATGGATAGCGGAAAAAAATATACCCAGAAAGTTTACTAATTGTAGTTTGGTAATCGGCAAATGGTAAATCAAATTCAATGCCAAAAGATAAAGTTTCTCTCGAGAAGTTATTCTCTAAATGCAACTTGGAAAGGAATTAACAAACCCACATTATACGGACGTCGTCTCCTCGGACATTGTAATCGTGTTGGCTGTCTGGTTACTACTTGGTCTGGTACATGGTATCTGTACGTATATCAAAATAATATGGAATTAACGTGTGTTACTTGCCCAGGGTAAAATCGTGCTGAAGACTTATCTGTATTCTCCGCCGTATTTATACTTAGGTAAACCAATTTACCGATTTGGTTTACCATTTACCATTTTGGTTTACCATTTACCATTTTGGTTTACCATTTACCATTTCGGAAAATACCTAAATTACCAAAACCGGAACTGGTGATTACCAAATTAGGTAATGACGTCATTGTACGTCATTTTAAGTACACAATGCACAGGTGTTCCTATGTAAAACATAAGCAAGAATAATAAAAAGTTTTAGAGTTAACAATGTTTAAACATAGTTATACAAGAAATATATAATAAGAAAAGTCAATTATCGGTAAGATACAACGTCATCACACAATTTTAGGGGAAACAAGTTGCAATTCAGGGGACCCACATTTCGTTACAGTAGAATAGTTTTAATCTCTCATCACTCCTTGTCTAGGCTATGATTCCAGTACCTCAGTCACTACATTATTTTTTTATGACCATTTTACATGAGGACATTCAAGGGTATTTTTATTCTTTATATTGAAATTGCATACATTATTACTTAATTAACTTCATGAAAATTTAAAACCTAATATTAACATTGGACATTTATGACACAAGATAATTGAGAAACTATAATAAAATATGATTTAGACAAAAAAAATTAAAACAGTTCTTTTGCTTTAAGTAATAATGAAATTATTTGTGATTAATTTTTAATTAATGATTCGTTATAAGCAGTTTGTGTGATCAAAATTGGTCAAAATAAAATCAAATACATTGTACATCACTGATGAATTATTGACTTGCAAGTCAATAATTTAACCTCATTGAATCCATATTCATGTCACCTTTAATTTAACCTCCTAACTACCATGTGAGGTTATCCTAGGCATTTGGTGGTTTCCTTTTCACCTCTATATTTTTTAATCTGTATTTTGTGTACTGCTGTCTGATTTTCACTTTTGTTAATGGCTTTGTCAATTTCTCTGCTAATTTTGAATGTAACTGTGATCTGCCACCTTTCTATCTCTCTAATCACATTTTTTTCTTTCACTTAGCTTTATTTTCACTTTGCTTTGCTACAACACAAATGTCAAACGCATAATGTATTGTCCAAATATTTTATGGTATGTGTCTTCAATTGTCTGTATTATTCGAAAATTTCTTCATTCTTTATTATATGTTTTCCAAAAAAACATTATTAATATCAGATTGAAAAGAAGAAGCATATAAGTATATTAAACAAAACCAAACAGAAAAAGGATCACTTACAGTCAGAAAAAATATTACAGATACATCTATTTAAAAAAAATGAAAATTAATTTTACACAAAATGATCAATATGACCAAGAATATGGAGTACCATAACATCAGAGATATATTAAATAGAAGAGAATATATCTCAATTAAGATATATAATGAATCTAAAAAGTTTCTGCAGATTGAGAATCACTCCAATTTTATTTTATCAATGCCAATATGATTAGATTAAAACAGGAGTTGAAGAAGAAAAAGATAATAAAAAAGAGCAGTTCCTAGCGAAGGATGAAGAAAATGCCCAAGATAAAGTAAGAAATTACTTCTGAAATTCATAGCTTTCAATTAAAAATTGAGATTAATAATAATTATTTACCCCATGCAGAAGGTACAATGTTTTAGACCCGTCTGTCTATCTGTCTCTTCATCTGACAGTCTGTCAGTGCTGTTCTTGTCATCACAACTCCTCTGAAACCACACAACAGAATTCCATGACACTTGGTAGTTAATGAGGACATACTATGTAAATGTGCATATCCACAAGATAATTTTTATCAGTTCACTTTTGTAGAGTTGTTAGTCATTGAACTTAGGAATCTGGTGAGATTTGGTTAGTCTAGTTACACTGCGTTGGCGTGGTGTACACATCTACTTTTTTATGTGTATTTCATTGTACTATAATTATACAGTACTGAAAATAAACTGTTTAAATTTATAGTACTTAAAATGTACAAATGATTATTTGTTCCTTCAAGCAAACAACCTGTAGATTTCTTTTGGGGAAAAAAAGCAGTTCATTTCAGGTAGCATCAGTCGACAGTTCCAGCTTTCAAATATTTTATACTATTTATTCTGTATATATTCTTTTTCAAAGAAATCTAAAGGATACTATTTTTATGAAATCTGTAGGTTGAAAATGAAGAAATAGAGGCAGAAACTGTAGAGGCAGAAACTGTAGAGGCAGAGACTGTAGAGGCAGAAACTGTAGAGGCAGAAACTCTAGAGGCAGAAACTGTAGAGGCAGAAACTCTAGTGGCAGAAACTGTAGAGGCAGAGACTGTAGAGGCAGAAACTGTAGAGGCAGAGAGTGCATCAAAAGTACAGCGTAATGTAAGAATCTGTTCAGGAAAAAAATAATAAGTTTGATTATATATCAATAACAGATTCAACTATCTATTTGCGTTAATTTTAGGTATAGAAGGTTAGTTTTGAAACATTACACAACCGTAAGAATTGAACATCAGACTTAGTTTCAAATTCCTTGATAATCCAGTTGGTGATGAAAAAAAACTGACTTAAGCACATTCTAATTGATTTCATTACTGACTTTGGATATGGACAATCAGCCATGATTATTCAATACAAATATACAGAAATAAAACTGCAGATGAAAATGATATTTGTCATTGGAAAAATTGAAAAAAGATAATATGAAAAAAAAACTAGCTTAAATAATTGTTTTTATTTACATTATAAACCATTATTATTGAGACATATCTTTTTTATGTTTTGTAGACAGCAGAAAAACAGATCTCTCCATTGGCTAAAGCAATTGACAAGGTTAAATATATTAAAGCACTGTGGCCAGCATGTAGACAAATATGTCCGACAAACATAACAACTTGTATGTGCGGTCTTTAAAATATAAAGCATGTTTATGATGTCTGTTTCAGTCCTTGTCCTAATAAGAGTGCATTTTTTTTTACTTATTATGGTATAATTCATTCCTATTGATTTTTTTAAAAAGGGCACCAGCAGTTATCTAATATTATAAAGGAATTATTTGAAAAGGTTTAAGGAGTATATAAAGTTTTTTGTTATCTTAAAATAAAACATCTCAGGAGTATGATTTTTTTTTCAAAATTAAACCCTTTCTCATCTAGAAGAAAAATGATATGACATAAAATATATTTGTAAAATGTGTTAAGCAGTTGTTTATATGATGAATGCATTGTCATACAAACAACTGCTTAATACATTTTATGAATATATTTTGTGTCATATCATTTTTCTTCTAGTGGGGAAAGGTTGTTTGTATGACACTGCATTCATCATATAACATTAACATTATAATATCTTAATGAAATATTAAAATAAACTTTAAATTTGTTTCTATAGAGAAATGCTACAGATATCATTGGACACATCATTTCCCAAAACTTCAACACAGATTTGAGCTATTTGGAAAGCTGCAGCCTGTTTAGCGGTGAAATACAGTTCAAGCCTAGAAAAAGACCATTGAGGTATTGCCCTTTTTATATTTTACCTCAATATTTACCTCAATTTCTGAACCAGAATAATTCCAAAAAAAGCATATATTTTTCCTGTTTTTTTTTAACAAAGCCTGTTCCGAAGTTTACACCATAATATTATATTATCATTTTTTTGGCTATACTTAGCACATCCATATTGATGCATTTCATAAAATATGCTTGTGTCATAAAAACAATTGACGGCAAATACCCTTTAAAGAGAAAACCAACATCTGATTTGATAAATAGATGACAAACATCATGTTTTATATTTTTCCAAAAAAAATTGCAACAATACATTTTTAAAATCATATGAAACCTCAAATTAAAAAAAAATTATGCATATGTTTTTTTATAACAAAATGGATAGTTTTCATTATTAAACTTATGTACATATACCTTTTTCTGAAGAAAATTCTTTAATTTGTACACACAACAGGCATGGGTCTGTCACTGAAAAAACTATAATCTGATTGTACATGTTAAACACGTGCTCAATATCCATGTCTTTTTGGTTGATTGTTTACTATAAGGTGACAATCGGTAAACTTTGGAATCAAAACACGGCATTTAATGAGCTGCCATATTTGTTAAATCATAACAGACAGAGAGAAAAAAAATGACGATTATACGATATAGTTGTGAAAAAAATGATAAAATCTTCCACAGAAGACTAAGTTTATGATATATACATTCATTGGTTCAAGAATTGGATAAACATTATTTTTCACCAATCACTTGTTTCATAGGACTTTAATTTGATAAAGTACACACTTCTATATCTGAATGTGTTCAAATATGCAACAGTTAGGTTAGCAAATTTTATCTGTCTGTAAAAAATACTTGTTATTTCTGAAATATATTTTCAAAGGAGAATTTGCATTTTTTATACCTGTTTCATGCACTTGTCTTACTACTGCTAATATTTTCTTATCTTCTAAAATGCAAGGACATATAATGGACCGGATATTTTGGTGCCAGGAGAAGGCGGAATGAGTGTTTTCTACCTCCTAAATATATTTCCGGATTTTGCTAAAATTGCTGTTTACATTTTTGCAAAATCCCACTTGGACCATTATGTACAGCAGGTTTGTCTTAATTTTAGAGTTCTTTATTTTTGTTAGATAAATTCCTCATCATTTCAGCTGAAGTAATCAGTAAGGATTTTAAAACTAAATAACATTGGTATTAACCTGTAAAGTTGGGCTCTTTTTTTAAGTTTATCATCATTTGCATATGATTTACAATTGGGGGCAAAATAAATGGCAACTTATTGAAAATGCTCAAAGAACTTTTTAACTCCATGAAAGTAATTGTGAATTGTGGCTTGTTGTAGTATCATAAAGTTGACATGGATAACATCAAAAAGGCCCTAAACAACAGAGGCCAAAGCAGGACGGTCAGAGACCTGTTAATTGAGGAGGCCAAAAACCTATTAACAGATGAAAAAATGGGTATCTTACTTTACAAAAATATGATTTGGTTTTTTTCTTCAAAATTATTAATGTCAAAGGAAAAGTATAGTATGTATCTGATCCACAACATAGCACATTTGTATTTTTTTTAAATAAAGTGAGACTATTTATGATTTCTACATTTTTATATGTTCTGCATACAAATGTTGAGCGGTTCACACAAATTTTGCAAAGATGGAGTTGAAGTCTCTGGGGTCATAGAATAAAGTACTGACATATATTTATTATAAGGGTTAGGGGAAAGGACAACAAAAGGCTGCAGTCTATATATGTAATAAAATGTTTGTCAGTTAGACAATTGATTGTCATTACTAAATAGGAATTATTTGTGCTCCTTGCAGTTGTCTCTAACATTGACATAAGTCATAAATATAAGAAATTATTGTTTCCTTATAGGTCCTGCAGCATTAATGTTTACTGCAGGATACTTAATGAAAGAGCTGGTGATATACCATGAAGAGGGGGTCAATGACTACTTGTGTGCCTGTCCTTGTGCTCAAGGGGTAGAAGTGCAGCACATCTACCATGATAAAGGGGACAACTTCTACCCCTTATCCCATAAGGATCTATGGAGAGGTATGTAATTTCTGTCTTTTTCCGATATTATTAAACAGGTATAGACAAAATGCATTTTTTTAATAAACCTTACATTCTTCATTCTGTGTTTTTGCCATTTTCATCTTTTCATCAATTTCAGGAGAATTAAACAAAAATGAACATGAAGAGATCAGTTATAAATGCTGTATATATATTTTGGCTGTTGTTTAATCCTGATAATGCAAGTATTATTTTTACTAACTGGAGTGGTACCTGAAAGTCTTCATCTTAAGGAGAATACATTTATTGTAGGTTTGTTCAATTCCAATGGGAGACAACACTTGTACTATTTTACTTAATAACAGTTTCCTTACGTTAATTAATACTATAGTGATGGAAATATTACTTTAAACTAACCACTAACAGGTACATAAAAAGTCTTCATCTGAAGGAGAATACATTTATTGTAGGTTGGTTCAATTTCAATGGGAGACAACTCTTGTACTATTTTACTTATTAACATTTTCCTTTATCTTATTTAATCCTCTGGTGATGGAAATATGACTTTTAACTAACCACTAACAGGTACATAAAAAGTCTTCATCTGAAGGAGAATACATTTATTGTAGGTTGGTTCAATTCCAATGGGAGACAACTCTTGTACTATTTTACTTATTAACATTTTCCTTTATCTTATTTAATCCTCTGGTGATGGAAATATGACTTTTAACTAACCACTAACAGGTACATAAAAAGTCTTCATCTGAAGGAGAATACATTTATTGTAGGTTGGTTCAATTCCAATGGGAGACAACTCTTGTACTATTTTACTTTAATATTAACATTTTCCTTACGTTAATTAATACTATGGTGATGGAAATATGACTTTAAACTAACCACTAACAAGTACATAAAAAGTCTTCATCTGAAGGAGAATACATTTATTGTAGGTTGGTTCAATTCCAATGGGAGACAACTATTGTACTATTTTACTTATTAACATTTTCCGTTATGTTATTTAATCCTATGGTGATGGAAATATGACTTTAAACTAACCACTAACAGGTACATAAAAAGTCTTCATCTGAAGGAGAATACATTTATTGTAGGTTGGTCCAATTCCAATGGGAGACAACTCTTGTACTATTTTACTTATTAACATTAATGGCATTTCTTTTAATCTTTATTTATTAGAGTTTAAATTGTTCTTGTAGAAGGTTGATTCCTATGCTTTCATTAGAAGACAAGTATTCCTCCATATTAACATTGCTGTACACTTTTCTTTTTATTTGTCTACATAATACACGAAATGATTATCTGTCAGATTGATAAACAACCTGCTTATGTATATTCTACAGCTGATGGCCCAAGTACCCGTTCCAAAATCAGAGACAATTACCAGACATTGGAAGAGGATAATAAAGGGTACTACTATGCCTTTTTTTTTTTTATTTATTGAATATGTATAAAGCTGTAAATTACTTACTTCAAATAAAATATAACCAACCATCCTGTCAGTTGAAATCAATCAATCATGTTTAAAAGACTATGAATGGTTCCCATGGTAAATTTATTGCATCTTTAGGAAGGTAAATATATATATATGCCCATCTGATGCCAGGAGCCTGGAATTAATTCAGTGATTGCCTTTTTTACTGTTTATTATATTTGTTCATCATTTTTAGATGTCTCTTCTTATATGCCTAATTAAGGTCATTTGTTTTATTGTTTGTATTTGGGGTCTGTTATAGCGGACTTCAATTTTTGCATACTAGAATACTTCATTTAATATCATTCAATCAAAAATGCAAATTTAAAACTGTTACACTCATTTTCTATATTTCAGATGCTTACCAGGAATGGAATCAGATTCAGTGTAAGAATTCAAAAAATATATATATGATGTGTACCATGTATACCACGAAAATCCATTGGTGTATCAATAAAATACCTGCATTTCATAATATATCAAGTAGTTTAATTGCTATTGAATGTATTTTCCATCACCTATTAATATATGGATAAGTACCGATGAGCAGGTTGTCTGCATATTGATATTGTAAAATATTAGCTGACAGTCACAATATGAAGCTTTTTTGTTGAGTGAGCTTAGTGAACGAGATCAGAAAGCCTTCATTTTGTGACTAGAAGCTGATATTTTACAATCTCAATATACAGATAACCTGACAATTGATTTATCAGGCTATATTTGCGTCTTTTTGAAGTGTTTTTTTTTTTTTTTTGAAGTGGTTTTTTTTTTGGTTTTTTTTGTTGACTTGATAAGTTAGGGTCAAACTAATAAACGTCAGTTCAAAAATTGTAACGTCATGGTCAAAGTAATTAAGGCTGGGTGTTTGACGTCACAAAGCTGTGATATGCAATTTCATTATAAGCTGAGCTAAAAGTGAATACAAATGTATAAGATATTGTAATATTACATAATTCTCAAATGAAAGAAAATTTTCAATCTTGTGCATATAGAAGTCATAAACACTTAATCAATATAGTTATTATAACAACAATGTCATTATTATATTTTATTGGAACAGAGTTTTTCAGCGATATGGCCATGAAATCTGGCAGGGAGACATAAATAGACTGTCAAAAGGTCATTGGTTGGATGACAGCATTGTTTATGTTGCAATAAGGTGATTACTATACAAGACTTATACTGCTTATATGCAGCATTCATCATTAGGAAAGGATTTTGTTATCAGCATTATTCAATAGTAATAATATGTTACTTGAATAAATAAAAAAAAAAACAGGAATATAGCGATAAATTGTTAGAAAAATTTTGACAAGGAAGATTACTTTAACACATAAAGTTGTTTTTGATAATTAAATATTATATACCCTTGTAAAAATAAAAATACAGCCTTTTTTCAAAATATACAATTGATATGATTTAACATATATTGATTAATGTATTCTAAAGACATCATCAAGAGACATATGCAACAGAAGATAGTATTCACACATTTGATCCAGTCTTCAGCAGGAAGCTCTTGGCAAAAGAAAATTGTCCTGATGATGGGTAATACTTAAATTTATCACAAGCAATGCAATTAAATTTATTAAACTTCACGTTAAAATGCCATATCATGATTGGCTAATAACAGGGTAATTATTTACTCTATCATATGGCTGAAAGGCTGACAATTTTTTTTAATGTCAACCTCTCGTCCAGATCAATTAAACTGAATCAAAAATTCAAGGACAATGAATTGAATACTCAAGTAACTGAAGACAATTCTTAAGTTCTACATTGATGCTCAGATTTTATCATTTGACTGTCAAAATAAAATAATAAGACATTTTGCTTCACTTAGAACTGTTGATTTTTGCTAATACCAATGACATTGTTATGTACATGTTACCTTGTCTTCAAACCATTATAAAAATCAGGAGATTGCCTCTTAAAGTATACTATTTCACTGAAACAAAAGTGATCTTACGGCATGGCGCTATGTAATCTGTAAAAGTTTTATAAAAAAATAAAAAATCTTAAATTTTCTTAGAAGTAAAATTTTCCCCATGTAAATAGAAAAATTTCTGAATTTGTGGTATAATTACAAGCTGGGCATCTAGTTGTATCCCATGGACACATTCTTCTTTTATTTCTAAATATTGTTGTCATGTGGATAATTAAATAAATCTTTTTCAGTTCTAGGTTGATCCTCCACTCATGCAATATAGATCTTGTGAATGCCTATAGCCGGAGAATTGCATTTGAAGAGAAACGGTTGATATTGGTCCCAATATGTGACAAGTTAGTTTAGTGATGTATCATCTTGATATCATAACTCAATATTCAAGAGTATTATCTTATTTAATTTATTATTCATTTAAATTTTTGAATGGATTTTGTAAAAGAAAATATCACTGAATAGACCAGGTTTATCATTTTGAATGACAAGTGCACATTTCTTAATAACAAGACTCCTCCATTGATGCTTGAATAAAAATAGTAAAAAGGTCAAAGGAAAATTTTTAGCATTTGATTAATTCAAATTTAGGCAAACAGATAATTTTAAAGTATTCATCTAGTTAAGTTAGATATACCTAAAGTTAATATTATATGATTGATGTTTTAGTACACACTGGATTCTGGCTTCCTTTTGCCCCAAGACTTTCACTGTAACCATGATGTGTTCAATGGGAGGTTGCTATCGGAAGACAGCACAATCACTTGGAAGGTAAAAATAAATGAACAAATTTCATTAAGGAAATAGTTTTATACTGATTTTTGAATCTCATAAATCAATTTGAATAGAAACAAATCAGTCATTCATCTTAGGAATTTGAACCACAGAGAGATAGAATAAACATCTTGTCATAAATGTACCTCAGCCGCTATACATAAACAACACAATCATAACTATTGCACATTTGATAATTTTACGTATCAATCTAAAATATTTATTTACAAATGCAATAAAAAAGCATTTTAAATATCAATCTTCAAAGTATTATTTGGTTTGCTTATGATTAGATAATAGAATGATAACCTGGCAAGAGTAAATCCTTTCACAAAAATTCATCTTGAAAAGAGATGAATTTTCAAATAATAAATTTTGAGTTAAATGAAAAATTACGGAGAAGAACTTTTTAAAATCAAACAGTTGGAATACATATTAGTTTAAGTATGAGTTCATCAAAATCAGAGCCAAATTATTAAGTTATAATTTGCCAGAGTTATGATTTGTACCAGTCTGTGATTCTGTTCAAATTCTTTATAAACAATGATCAACTATTAACAATATCCAAATCTATGTTAATCAAGATCAAGTTTTTATTATGCTTTTCTGTTTTGCAGATACTTTGCTGCAATGTATGCAAAATCATTTGAGGAAGTTAAAATCAGTCATGCAAAGGTAAAGTGTTTTGTTTGGTCTATTTTATATGTATTTACTGCAATTAACTAATTAACTAGTAGTATATATAAAGCAAAATTCTTGTGACAAATTATACCCAGGATAAAACATCACAGAGGAAGAAATAAATAGTTACATATACGCTTATTGGCTAACTTGTTATAAGGGTAATAGCAAATTTGTTGTCCTGAGTTATCCACTTTTGATTGAAGCAAAACATGAGAGCAATAGTAGGTATTTAAGGATGTACTTAGGTGAGTTTAGGTGAAAATTAATAAATCAAGAAATTAAAATTGATACTATAAACTTGGAGAGCATCCGTTAAGGACAAAAATAAGCTAAAAATATTGATAGGTCATAGACCTCCTTTTCGAGATATTTGAGATTTAAAATATGGCTTTAAAAGGCTGACTCAGACTTTTACCTTATATTTGCATTGGTATGATTTGGGTCTCAAAACAATACAAAGAAATCAAGAATCTTCTTAAATTTTAGTAAATCACCTTTCATGAGCTATTAAGTCTTATATGAAAAAATAAATGGGTGTTATGGGGCAAAATATTTTACATTGTATTGTATGGAAAAACACCAAGGAGTCTGAACATTTGTCACAAATTCCAAAACCTCACCTAAGTATATCCTTAAGGGACAACAACTTGCTATTACCTAAATGAATAGTCATTTACTCTTTTCTTAAACAAACGATATAAAAATAAAGAGTTGTGGAATGATTGCCAATGAGACAACTATCTACCAAAAATCAAACAAAGTGGATGTAAGAGCTTTCAAAGATACACAACTATAAAATCTGAAACAAATATTCACACTCTTGTACATGCAAGCAGAGACCTGTAAACCATAAACATTCTGTACAATTCTAGAGCTATTTCATTGTATTACATTAATAACTGAAAAAGTTAAAAGGAAGTGTTGCTTTAAGCAGAATTTCAATTATGGTTATTGATTTCTGTCTAAATATTCTGAAACAATTTGAATGTCATTTTTTTTCAGATCATGTTACACTAACATGGGTTTAAATTTTGCTAATCACAAAATTTGAGTTTCCCTGGCAAAATGGCCATTTCTGTTCATAATTCTTTACATAATAGAGGTTTGTTTTTATAGGTTCAAAAGCAGCAAAATGGTAATGATTGTTGCGTATTTGTAGTTGGATATGCTGATCAATGTTTACTCAAGGTACTGTTTTTCATATATATATGTACATGTCATCTGGATGTGGATATGTAGATATAGAAAAATATCAGCCCTCGAGCCAGAATATGAAGCTAAATGTCGAGTGAGCGTAGCGAACGAGCCATTTAGCTTCATATTCTGTCAAGGGGGCTGATATTTTTCAATATCTATACAATCCACATTCAGATAACATTTTTGTCATCTTTCAAAGCAATGTTTTTTATCAAAATTTCCTTTTTCAATAATTTCGCGGGAATTGTTATTACCAGAGTTACCAGAGTGTCTCTGTTATTACTAGGCAACACACGTCATCAAAATATTAAACCGCGGATACACCTTGTGGCCAAAATACGCAGGGTAAAATATTCCCATTAACTAGAGGAAGAAAAATGTTTCGTGTACATGATAATGCATATATGAGAGTATAATATTTGAAGATGATACAAAAAAAAAAAGAAATATTAAAGATTATATTGAAAGATCGTAGTATTTCATATCACCAGAAGAAGAAAATTTCTACTCGCTGACCGGCTACTGAACAGCATACGGTTCATAAAAAAATTCCAGAAACGCATCAAAATGCTGTTTGTTTTCAAGACTAAAAGTACACATATATATTTAAGTAGTCGTAATTCGTAAAGGAGAAGTTGATTTGAGAAAGACAGATTTATGTTCACTATAAATGTTTTAATAATTTAAACTGCCACTCCCTCATTGTTGACATTTGTATCGATAGATTGATCTCAATACAGGTCAGACCAATAGTTCAAATTAAGTCAAATAGTTCAGTTCTGAAAAAAAGTAGTCCCGGCAGAACTTATCAAGACTGCCGTCGACACCATTTTATCAACATCTCGTTTCAGAATGTAAAGTAATTTTAGGAAAAAAGAAATGGTTTATTGTAAACTATGTACTGCAAGTGTAATTTATTTTATTAAAAGAATTTATTTGGTGACTTATCACCATTACAATACAAGGCAATATGTTGGGAGAATTTGTTGATAAGTCCTGCTCACTTGATAATGTCTCCTCACTTGCACACGCTAACTGGATACGAGTTTTACAGATATGTTGAGGAAGCTGATATAGCGGTAGGGAAGGATGATAAATAACATTATCCATACTGCTCACATACCTTAGTTTTCAAGTGCATCATGAAAGCACTAGTTATAATTACTACAATTTTTACTTTTCAACAAATAAAAATGCAAGTAGCATATGGCTTGGCCATTTACACCAAGACGTCAATAAATTTTATTGAATATCCCGCATTTATCATGCAGTACACACACCAAACACATGCAATATAAATGAAATGAAATGAAATGATACTACACATGCTCACACTGACAACTTGATAGGATCACTTTACAAAGTAAAAAGGTCAAATGAAATAAATACTCATTAAGTAAAACAGTAGAAAATAGATGTCTTTCAGGAAAAGATAGACACAAAAATAATTGTATAATGTTTCTTAATTTCTATTTGATAGCATATATTATTTTCAGAATGGGAATCTTGAAGATTGGAAGGTCAAAGGCAGATCACAACTTCTGAAAATAATTAAAAAAATGTATTAAACTTTTGTGAACTATCAATGTAAAGATAAAAGTTGATGTCGTGATGTACAGTTTTAGTAAGTTTGGTATAATATCTAGATCGTTATTATCTATGTGGTACATTTTGGTTTGCTATTTATTGCGAACCCAATGATAATTTTCCACAGATTCACCTGCAAGTTACCTGTCGATTTAAACTTTTGTAAGTTCTATTGTCCCATCTAACAAATACAATAGCTATTGTTCTCTGTTTAGTTTATTCAATTGAACCTTTAAATTTCTTCCAAGAGAAATCTATCACTCACTGATTAATTTACCGGAACAAAAATTGAACTGTCAATGATGAAAATACATGTACAAATAAGGAACCACAAAACTGCATATGATGTTGTATTTATTCAATATCAATTACTCATTTTCAATTTGTTTAATTTAAACACTGATTTAAAAATTAAAAGTTGATTTCTGATCAAATTTCAATATTTTACCTATCAAAATTTGCTTTTTTAGTGTGTTCACAAATATAAACTTGAAAATGATAATGTTTAAATGAAGGTCTTCTTAAATATATTATTTACAACTGAACAACAAAAATAAAACATGCATGCCAATTCTTTGAAACTGTAGTAAAAAAGAATTCAGAAATAAACTTTTTATAACTGAATCAGTTTTTATATTGAACTGATTGAAAATATATTTTGATATTGAATAAATACTGTATCACATGCAGTTTATATGAGTTTATTCATGTATTTCAATATACAAAGAAGATATTGTTTGGTCAGGCAAATGAATCAATGAGTGATAGATTTCTCTTGGAAGAAATTTAAATGTCCCAAGTGAATAAACTACACAGAGAACAATAGCTATTGAATTGATTCATTGGGACAGGTAAACTTGCAAAAGTTTAAATACCTTGGTCAAGAGCAGACGACTCTGTGGTAAACTTTCATTTGGTTCACAATAAAACTTGGAATTCTAGGATATTGTGAGCTTAGTTAAAATATGTACAAGAACTTTGTCCCATATAAGTACAGTATATTATTTATTATACCTAAAATATATAAAAAATATTTCATTTGTGTAGTTTTTCAATGGATTTTTGCAATATACTGAACACTTTTGTCATGTATTATGCTTATTTAAATTTCCTTCCTGTTTGCTTAAAAGTTCAATTCACTTGGTTTCAGTCTGCTTACATGTAAAAAAAAACTGACATTATTTTCATTGAAGTCTTTAAACTAGCTAATTCAGTTAACTGATGAAACAAAAGTACATTTATTTTACTAGGATACTCTTTATTCTTATCAGAATATTATTATATCTAAACATACATCAATTAAGATATATAATTATTCTTTTCCTCAAAGATTTTTATTTCTTAATATATAAAATTGGTACTATGTGCACTACTGATAGTATAAATGAAAAGATTGTATGAGTGATCAATTTTGTCAACTATTTAGGTTAGCATAGCATTGGTAATGGGTAATCAGAAAGGTATGACTAATGGATGTGTATTTTTAAAATCCTTAATTATCATTATCTTAATGGATCATCATTAAAGGGAAACTTCGCAAAAAAATGAAAAATTCATATTCTGTTCATTATGTATAAAAAAGCACAAATTCATAGATATTAAAGTTTTATTCTGTAAGTTAAGAGATCACCATCGATTTTAAATTTAGAGTATCAATTCTCCACATGCGGCCATTTTGACATCCTCCCCGAATATTGACCACGATATATCTATAAACCACAAAGGACCAAAACAAGCAGTAACCTAACGTAGCCGTAATAGAGTGTCGATATCTTGTCAAGCGTACGGTTGTTTTATCCGACAAGGAAAGCATAAACAGTTTCCCGGGTCACAAAAAAGATTATGATAGACATAGTTGTGCAACCTTTCCTAACTAACTTGATACGGAAAATGTAATTTTATATATATTATTTTTTAAATAACTAGTACTAATAGTATGGTCTGTCGTTTTGAAACTGTTTTGTTTACGAAGTATTTAAAACAAGAAATTGAAATTAGTTAAAAAGTCAAAGTTCAAAGTCATAAATAAGTGTTCCGTGTAAAATTGTTTTTGAAAATCTAGTTTGTTCATAATTGTTTTATGTAATAAACTTTTTAAAATAAATTCGGATCTTCACTTATCTGATCACCAGAATGGCTAAAGGAATTGTTCCCAGAGGTATTGTGAGGTGACACGTACAGGTATTCAAGCGATTTCCTGTCGGGCTTTAAAACTGTTATTACACAATTACATAAAACAAGTTCGTGCATCACTTTTTTTCTGGGGGTATTGATCAGTGTACACAGCCGATAACATGTAACTTCCATTTTGAATCTATCAGGTGTAATATACAACTTTGTCTAGCGTATCCGATAGTGATATACTAGTCATTGCTAAACTCATACGCTTGTTTATAAATAACATTTTTGGTGTAAAGAATGATATTTATGAAAATTTAAATAATTAAAAAAAAAAAAAAAAAGATTTGATGAAATAAAAATCTATTAACACATTTTCCAAGGGTAAATTGGGGAAAATGTAAGTATATACTCGTTGTCAATAATTATGGACATTTTGAAACATACAAATATTGATTTAACAAAATGTGCGGCACTTGTCGATCATTGGTTTACACGCATAGATGGAAGGTTTATAGGGAACTATGGATAGTCGCAATATAGAACTGATATCATACAAGTATATTGAATATACGAGAGAAACATCCAGAACCAATCTGATTTAAATACAGGTCGATATCTAACTTGCTTTGGTTCATCGAAGCTATAGACATAGTAATATCACAGATTTATATTTCAATAAGATTATTTTGAACAGTTTAAGAAATTTGTCATCATCACATTTTCCTGGTCCGACATGCATGTTATATATATATGCCACTGGACGTGCACTAATGATCCCCAAAAGCCTATTTGAAGAAATAAAGAAACTTCACTCAGGATAGACTGATGGTAGTTGTATTAACGTCTGGTCAGCTAGAGGGTTGATTAATTTATTTAGTTAGCTTGTAGGGGATTTAACCACTCTTAATATTGCACTTATGCATTAGATATTAAATGACAGTACCGGTAATACATGTAATAGCTTTTCTAAAAAGCTTGCCGTATTTTAGCTGCTTATACATGTATTGAGATCGGTGGTTTGTGGGTATAGGGTTTTTTATTGGAATCTTGCACTCCTAGCATTAGAATATATAGTGTCTTTTTTCTCCTGGTTTTTATTTTAGTTGTAGTATTGGTGAATCAGGGTTATCATTGAAGGAGGCTTGATAGTCACATATGATAATATATATATATATATATATATGGCTTGTAATAGCTAAAGTAACGATACAAACATTTTTTTGTTTGTTTTGTGGAATATGATTGTTTACTCTTTATGACAACGCAAGTAGTTTTAACATGCATACTGCGTCTTGACAGTTATGTAATAGTTAGCAAGGTTATAATCAAGTTGATAAGAAAAACGTATTATTTACTTTTGAGGATAACTGCTAGACAAAATGGACTACCAGTGGCAGATCTAGAAATTTTCATAAGAGGGGGCCAGCTCCAGTCATGATTCAGTGATTCACTACATGTATATGATCAACCAAAGTTTTCCCACGAAAGGGGGGGGGGGGGGGTCCCCTGAAAAACTCTCTAAATCCGCCTCAGACTACTATAGTTGGCCGTTCGAATATGAGAATATTACATCTTATATGTATAGAAGACAGTGGTCTCTTTAGCCCAAATTAGAAGGGCGCCGCACACCCTGGGTACCCTTAGCCACGCCTTGGGTGCCTTCAATTGAGCCCCTCTCTGACGCCTTTTTCCAAGGAGGGAAGAATAGTAAGTTTATTTCGCTTCTTTTGGTTAATAGTGATCTGATGTATGAATGTGTATTGCCATGTTTTATGAACATGTAGTATGAATGACTTTTCTAATGCAAATTTTATAAACAAGGAATTATTTGAATCTGGAATAATTTTGAATTCTGGAAAATTGATTAGAAATGTATGATGAAAACTAACCCAACTAAATAGGGTTAGCCATGCGTGCATGGCTAAGGTTAATTTTACTTTCACTATCATTTCAGTATGAACTAACTAACCCACCTTAGCCATGCGCGCATGGCTAACCCTATTTAGTTGGGTTAGTTTTCATCATATATTTCTCATCAATTTTCCAGAATTCAAAATTATTCCAGATTCAAATAATTCCTTGTTTATAGAGTAAATAATCAAAACAACAATTTATGCATCTTTATTAACAACATATACAGTAAAAAAAAAGTGAACTCGTGATACACACAGAAACGTAGACAAAAGAAATGAGGAGTGCATTTTCCTATCATAAAAAAGTGCCCTGCCCTTCACTGGCACCCTGCCCCTTTCTATTTCTAGCTGGAGCACTTCAAGTGATGAATATCTCATCTGGCTTTTGTCTTGGAGGAAGCAATTAGTTTTGAAGGTACAGGTTAAGTGTTGTTATTACTAATTTCCAGATGTAGTATAACTGTAAGAAGATGTTTTGTGGTAATGGATTTGGAATGAAATATTAATTGCAAATAATTTTTTAGAACATGTTGTAAGCTGGCTTCTTATATTTTTTATTATTTTGTTGCGGTTTGTAATCTTGACATTTTCTTTGTAAGTTCTATAGATGAGAGCTTCATATTGGTATTATCATTTAGTGCTTTATATTTGGTTGCATGTGCAAGCATATGCTTTTGTTAGTTGGAATATTTATATTTTCATTTCTGAAGGCAACAAGTTCATGTAATACATATAGTCAGGATTATTAGTAAGCGATAGTTGTTTTGTTTGTTTATGTTTATTGTCATGATTGATATGGACTATATAACTTGCTGTTTGGTGTGAACCAAGGCTTCATGTGGAAGACCGTACTTCAACCTATAATGGTTTACTTTTACAAATTGTGACTTGAATAGAGAGTTGTCTTTGGTACTGATATGACATTCTGTTATATCTATCGACAAGATTGAGAACACATTTTTTTGTAATAAAACATATTTAATTCTATAATATCATATTCAACAATTTATCGATAATTTGTGCATTTTTCCTTTGATGTGTACTCTCTGATAATGTCAGTATCAGTTGACTGGTCGTGATATATAAATTATTGGGTCAGTTCGCAATTGACATGCTCAGGTGCACTGTGTCAGGATCTTTCTCCTTTCATTCACAAAATCATGCATAATTTTTTTTTGCAGAATTGCAAGAGTGTTTTGGTGATTGAAACACTTCTCATATTGTTTGAAAGTTTCAGTAAAGTTAGTTTTGCCCTTTTGACAGATTGTGTGGAAATTCGAACAGAATATGAATAAAAAACCCAATAAACTTTTAAAAAATGCACCATTATTAATAGCTTTCCTTGCTTATAATTCACAATGATGTACAAAATGTATAAATATATCATCCATGCTATTCCGATCTTAGTTTTTATTCATACATAGTCTGGTGCTGTTCCAAGTAGTCTTCTTTTTCTGTTTCTTGAGAATAATTTGTTTTACCTGTTCAGTCACTTTAAAGTGTTACAATTAATATTTAGACGCAACACAGAATAGTGACCAAAAAGGTACTGCTATCATATGAGAGGAGCTAGAAAAAAAAAATGAAATGTACACATTATCAACATTTTTGTGGGACCATCAAGATGTGGTTTCATTGACTTTTTTGTCAATATATAGACAGATATTCATAGACCAAATAACAAACATGCAACAAATTCAAAAGTAGATGTTGGATGAATTATAGAAAGAAGTGGTACCCGGGGGCCTGAAACTTGACAAGGTTTCCCGTATGAAAATTTCAACAGGAGTTCAACTGGACTCTAGCTGGACTTGAGACGTATTCCAGTCTGACTTTGAAAAGTCCAGTCTGACATGAGCCGTACACGTACTTTTTCTTATACTTGGGTTATTTGCCAGCCGGTATTTTCTTTAAAGTCCAACCGCATTTTTTGTAATGGTTACAAGAAAATAAAACACGGCTGGACTTTTGAGGAAATTTATTCCTTTCTGTAGAATGATCAGCAGGATTTTTGTCTTAGAAAATTTTACATTCATTTATGAGCAGGAGTTTAAACTTAGATAATTTTCATCAGCCAAATCTACCCTTACAGAAATAAAAAGTTTGCCACAATAGATTCTGTTCTTTGAAAGGAACAATTCTTTCAAAATGTAAAACAGTTGAAAATGAAAGTTTGCAAGTACTTAATAATAATGATAAAATATTTTTTTGCAATATACTTTTAGTTCAAACTATAAGATGTGATACTTTCCCTAGATTTTCAATTCCATTATGAAATATTTAACATAGACTGTTGATGGAAAGTTAAAATTTAATTTTGGTGACTTTTGATTGAATTATATCCAAGTTAATATGTTTAATATACAGCAATTATTTAACATTTCTACTTTTTTCATAAAAAAACCACTAGCAACATCTGTTACAGGTCAAATTTATACATTTTCTAGTATATTTATATTTAATTAGATGAATGCATAAAATTAATAATTATCATTCATTCTTTAACATCAATTAGAAACTTGAGCCATATAACAGTGATTTAATAGCAGTAAGTCTTGTAGAAATGTGCCATCTGTTTTCAATTAACCTCAGTCTGGACAGGTTACAGGAAGTACTATCTCCACAGAGATTGAGGCCATATGTGGGAGAACACATTTCGAAATACATATTTCTGCAATTACTATCACTTTTATTAAAAATTTCATAATTAAACAAATTAATAATTGATTTTCTTTTTTTAATATATCACATATTCAAAATTAAGGCACATGCAATTAGTCATAAGAGGAACATTTAAAACAACTCCTTAACATGTTAAACAACCTCATGTATTGCAATACAACACAATTTGAATTTGGAATAAACAGGAAGATGTGTCTTCTTTCTTGAACAAAATGAGAATTTTATATCATTGGATGTAAAGCAAATGTTTGGAAGTAGTTCTTTTCACATTGAATAGAGAAGATGGATCCTTCTGACTGGCATCATGACAATTTAGGAAGATTGCTGTTTGCATGTGTTTTGGATTGCATAATTCTGGTAAGTACAATAAATTAAATTCCACCATTTTGGTGATAATATCTGATATGCTCTTTTTATTCAACATATTAATAAAATAATTACAATATTATAAATAGCTTAATTCTTATTTTTGAGGAGTAAAAAGAATAAAAAACCTACATCGAATAATTATATTCATGAAATAATTTTCATCTTGTCTGTTATGTCACTGTCACTTTCTGTTTTGAATTGTTGTGTAAAAAAATGTATTATATTTTTTATTCCCTCTGTATTAAGGAATGGTTATTATTTGAGTTGTTTTGGATGTTTTTCGATTTCTACACTTTAAGTAATTTTCAAAGCCAACTTTATTTTATTTTTAGCCACTTTAAAATTATTTAGGCTATTTAATAACCACAAATTTTTAGAAGTTATCATTTAGCTTCTCAATTCCCCATTTCTTGGTTTTGCCAGTAAGACAGTACAAAAAAGAAAAAGAAATAACCAGTATATATGCATAATGTCATCTGTTTTTTTTTCTATTTTCAGATTATAGCAAGGGATGCATGATGCAAATTAAATCAGAAGAATCAACCATCTGAAGAAAAACTGAGCAGTGGCGGATCCAGGGGGAGGGTTCCAGGAGTTGGAACCCCCATTATTCTGACGATCAATGCATTTGAATGAGGACATATGGTTGGACCCCCTCCCCCTATCCTGAGTTAGGAACCCCCCCTTTTGAAAATAGCTGGATTCACCCCTGCTGAGGTCATCTTTAAAAGTCAAACCGCACTTTTTGAAGTCCAGCTGGACTTTATAGAGTTCAGCTGGACTTTTTAAAGTTCAGCCAGACTTTGTAAAGTCCGGCTGAACTTTATAAAGTCCATATTTTTGCCAGAAATGCCGGCTGGATTTTTTTTCAGACGTACTTTTATTAAAGTCCAGCTGGACTTTATGAACCGGACTCCTGCTAATTTAAATATTTCGAGCCGGTTTACGGCTAATTTCGCTGAAAGTCCAGCCGGGGTATCTATTATAAGCAATTCAAAGAAAAGTCCAAATGAATATTATAAGTACGGTTCTCAGTACGGCTACAGTACGGCTGCTGTCCGACTGGAGTACGTGTCATGTTTTTCATACGGGCTGGTTTGGAACAAGTAATATGTCTGCATTAACATTAAATGTAGGTTTTAAAAGTGGGACCCACATCGCCTTTCCCTAAATCCTTTTCTGAAATTAAAAGTAGCCGCATATTTCTGGGTGCAGTTGAAAAATAAATGAACATGACTTTGAAAAAGCAAGAATATTAAGCTAAAAGAAATAGACCAAATTTGGATGACATCTATTAAAATGTTTGAAATAATTATGAAGTTGACAAGAAATGAACTTGTTCAGATAATATACAGTCAGCCTACAGACTTGTTGCTTCCTGAAATGTCTGCTTACACAGTGCTTTCCTAAAATGATTTGTAATGTGATCGTTGTCATGATGAATGATGAGCAAACATAGATTATGCCATTGGTTTTCTCGTTTGAATTGTTTTACATTGTTATTTCGGGGCCTTTTATAGCTGACTATGCAGTATGGGCTTTGCTCATGGTTGAAGGCCATAAGGTGACCTATAGTTGTTTATTTCTGTGTCATTTTGGTCTTTTTTGGAGAGTTGTCTCATTGGCAATCATACCACATCTTCTTTTTTTATATTATAATGACAAGATAAATGTTATGTTAGCCACCCAACTAAGTAAAATATATAACTTCTTGTTGAACTTCTAAAACAACGATAAATCTGCTGATTCATATCGTATCATTCAATGCTGTAAGATGCTATGTGAAAAATAAAGAAATTTACCTTAATATATGCTTCCATTATATTCGGCATTGTTATTCAGTTATGTCCAAAGCAGAACTTATGAAAGGCATGCAACACATGTGCAATAATTTATTTTCAATAGATGCATTTGAAAAAATTATTTTCAGCACTAGTAAAGCAACATCTATGTTCATGATGTCATGTGATCATTTATATATATAAGAATATTTCATTAGAGTTGATTTATTAAAAATTGCTTTGAATCCTACTTATTGCTATTTGTCTGCAATTACTGGCCATCACAAAGGTTCACGTAAAATTTTGACGTCATAATACAAAATATCTGACGCCACAATGGAAAAGTGATTGTAGTATGATGTCAATGGTTGAAGCGGGACAGATTCTCAGGTCAGCTGGGACAGAATTCCATAAAGCGATTAGGTGTATGGTTATTATATATGGGTACTATGTTCAGGAGGATGAATTCTAATATATATACGTAAAATACCTGTTTGGTTTTGAATTAACATCCTGGATCTGGATTTCCTTATCAACCACCATCATTGTTAACGCATCCAAGTCATAAACTAGAGCCTTTATACATAGTCAGTTCGATCTGCCAATATCACATATTACAAATACTTATACAAATACAGCCGATAGATTAAACTCAGCACCATTGTATATTGATAATTATACATATAGTATCAGCTGATTCAGATTTGAAAAGGTTAGCAAAATAGCAGCACCATCTGAAAATGGGAAACCTTGATTATCTCGAGCATGTGTATCAAAGCAAATAGTAATTATCATCACGACGAAATATACATATTACTCACCTTGTTTGTTTTCTATTCTTCTAATCAGCTGTTTATCGGCAATTGTCTGTTTTGTTTACATCAGAAATCAATGAAGCGGTGAATACGCGGGGAAACGAAAGGACATCTTCGTATCAATACGGTAAATTCCGTGATTTGAATATTTTCTAATCAATATGTTCAAGCAATGAAAAATATGAGGATAACATTTTTAATCATAGAGCACACGTTTTGTGTATTTATTATTTAAAATGATAGTTTATGAAGAAATATAGCAAAATATGTTTCAATAAGCACTATAAAGTGAAGATTAGATGTATTGTTGGTTTGCTTTTGAAAGAACATTAATAATCCATAATTACACACCTTTGTACCAAAATTGCAACAAAATTTCAAGATAACATAAATTTCATCATCACAGAATGATATTGTTTGCTCAAATTGACAGGGCTTCGTGAACTAAATTTGGCTTACATTATGATAGCAATTGAACACTTCATTATAGTTTATACCAATGACCTACTATCATGATTTTTATCCGACCCCACTTACGGACGCGTTGACATATAATGCATACAACTCAATAATAGCCAATCAGACGTTAAGATGTCCTTCACTTCCCCCAGAAGCAGCCCGGAAGTAGCTGAGATGCAGCCATTTAATGTTATTTATAACCAATGAGATACCGTTAACAGAGTAACCACATTCCAGACGTCCAGCCTCTGACTAATCAGACCGTATCACCATGGTGATACGGTAATAAGAGAAAATATAAATACGAAAAGTCGCATATCTGATAGAAAAGGACTCACCATGAACTATAGGATTGTACGTACGATTGTCATTCTTAATCGCATAACGGACAGTCATTTAAATGCATGCATGTACGCTGTGATAAAAAGGGGTGTCGCAGTTGCAAAGTATTCATCATAAATCTAAGTTTCAAGTCGGGTATGAGGTCATGTCTATCTATCTATGATTAACCTTGACATTTCCGGGTATAACAGAGCTACTTGTATATTACCTGAATGTGGTTAGGTGACGTCCCATGAGGTCTTACGTATACATGTTCATATTTATAATGGTTTCTGATATAACAATTAGGTTTTATAACATTCACACTTCTGCATGTTCTGTATACCAAATTCGTATCTTTTTTTCAGACCGAATGAGGATGTGAATATTTTCCAGGATCAAATTAATTTCGGGATTTTTTTTATTTCTTTGTATTAAATCTCAGAAATTTACAGAATATACTGCTTGTCCGCTTTAGGAGTTTTCTTGTCAGTTTAAACAGACGTATATATATGTCTCTGGTTTAGAGTGGGTTTATGAATGAATGATAAGTCTTACAAAGGTACAAGATATCAAGCACATTGAAAATTGATTTCGCCGTTCTGTCTACATTTAAAAAAGGAAAGTTGACGTTAGATTGATTCTGTTAATTTTTTTAAACATCGTTGGTCAAATAGCTTAAGAATTATATAAATACGTTGTGAGATTTATAATATTTCAATAAGGGCATTCCTGATTAGGTAAATGAAGATCGCTTTGGACGACAAAACTATATTTTCGTAACTGATAATTTTCTCTGCACATTTAAATATTCAAGGTTACCGATGATAATTTAAAATAGTACTGTTTTGATTTATACGCTCGTTTTCGTGGGCCATTTATAATATTTATATAATTATTTTATTAAAAGTGATTCAAAATTTCGATGTTACAACAAAATACTCACCTATTTATTTAAAAACTGAGCAAATGCAAAATGTTAAAAAAATATATATATAACGGCGATTAAGGTATTTTGCCACCATATTCCTCCCTTAATAATTAAAAAAAATCTGTCTCATACCTGCAACGGTGAACCCTTGAGGACAAACACCACTCTAGTGAAGATCAAAGGATTAAAATTACATAATGCTAATCTTTTAATTAACGTGAATTTAACCACGCCTTTACCAGGTGGTGTTAGCATAATACACATGCATTGTATTTACACAGTACTAGCCAGGATTTGTATAGTAAGACAAATCCTCGACTGAAGTAATAGGGGAGAATACAAACGTGAATTTTTATTATACCATCAGTTATATATGTTGTTCAACATATCCGTCGAAAAAAAAATCATAAAAAAATTCGATTGTATGATTTGCTTTTATTACTATAATTATATCAAAATCCTTAAAATATAAATCGTAAATTTTAATTTAAAAAAATGCACGGCTGATCACTTTTCTTTCTGAATTGTTAGTTGGTTAATAGCTACACCAAAAGTCGTTGATGCGCTTTAAATCGCGTTATTAGATGATTAACGAACAAGACTTTAAATGAGATTAATCCACTCCCGGCATGCAAAAAGACTTAAACTACGTCACATAAGTCAGGAAGTTTGAATAAATAGAATTAATAATTCCCAATTTTCTTCTTTATTAGTTTTCATATCCAGATAAAACTTGGTGAATATGTTTTTAATGGTATTATGAACATAATAAGATGATAAGTAAAAAATCGCGAATTTTCCCTTTAAGTGCCAATTTTACAGTACTTATTACATATGTTATATATGAAGTATGAAATTTTCAATTGTAGCATAAAATGGTATTTTTAGTCTTTTCATGGACTTTAATTTTTACATTTACTGTAACATATTTTAGGTATTCACTTATGTTCTTCAATATTTTAGACAGCATCATAATTCCTTTTTTTTAAGTCTTGCTTCTATGGCATGCTGGTTTTTTTTAGGCATGCTGGTTGTTTAGTGAAAAAACGTTTATTTGATTTGTATTATTTGTGTGTTCATTTGATAAATGTTTATTTGTATTTTGTAATTGTCATAAATTAGTTACTGCTGCCTATACACACTATCAGATTTTTTTTACTGCCATTCCATAATTTGTATAATTTGGTTTCAGTCTAATAAGTTTAGTAAAGGAAATTTAACGTAACTACATATTCCGCATTCATTATATTTTACCTTCAGATTAGAGTATTGCCATCAGTATTCACTACTTTGTTCCTTCCTTTCACCAGATAAACATTATTTAACTTGTTTATATAAGAACTACCTGTCATTCAAATTTACTTTAGGAGACATAGCTGTCTACTTTCACAATCTATATGTTTATAGCTTTGAAGTGTATAAGCTATACAGCTTAAACTATTAAATATATATGTATCATTTGTATCTTATTTGATGTATTTGTATACTTATATATATGTTTTGTAATTGTCATATTTTTTCTATTAAAAATTTAATGCTTTTTTGTCTGCTTCACACCATTTAACAATTAAGATTTACTCATTTTGACGGTTGAACACATGTTGATCCGGTATAAAATGGTGGTTTATCAGCCTTACCTATGTTGATAGTTTTATTTAGATTGATCCAAAACAAATTGGGTACCTATCAGCCTGTACTTGTTAATGGTTATTATGAAGGCTGATCCTGTATAAAAT